GGTGATAAACACAAATATCTGCAGAGGAAACCAACAAACAAGCAGCTTACACAACTGAGGCATGAGAAACACTGATGCTAGTAGAAATCCTTTATTCCACTTAGTTTGACATACATGAAGCACCTAATTTTTTCCAGATACTGGGCTAGCTGCCGGGGTCAAGGTGGAAATACAAAAATCACCAAGATGTAATCCCTGTTCTTAAAAAGTTTACAACAACCCATGTAAAAATGAGGGCAACAAGGGAGGTGCCAGAAAACTGCTCAAAAAACTGGAAGGAGGAGGGCTTACCTCTACTTCTCAGTAGAGGCTGAAGCCGGGACCCTCTTAAATTAGGTGATATGCTTGAGGCAGGGGTTGCATGCCGAGTAAAGAGAACTCTGGTGTTGAAGCACGTCTTGGCAACAGGAATGGTCTCGCTCCTCCACAGCCTTCCACGTGTGAGAGGGAAAGGGGTATTCAAAGATGGGCAGTTTTATTTTAACCCCTCTCATCATTAGCCCCCTATAAGAGATTGATAAGGAAGTGAAAAATTATTTTTAAAAAAATCCAATTTGGAAGAGGCAGGACATAGACAAGATATACCATTTCTTTGTTTTAATGTAAACTCAACTGCTTATCGAGTAACTTAAGTAAAACCATTGAAAGGGGGGAAAAATCCCTCTGGCAGCACCACAGTTCATTATGGCAGAATGCTGTCTCTCCTGTTAAAGACTATGAAGCTAGCTTTGGCTACTGCCAACGGTGGATGCAAGAGCACAAAGGACACTGAAGTCCATATTTTACACATAAATTAACGTCAATAAACAATTCCACCGTAACTGAGCACAGATGATGAAGACGGCTTGGAAGAGATAATTGGGGAAGAGAGGTGAAGTCTCTGAAGGCTAACTGATCTAAAAATGACTTGAGATGCTGTATCTCCTACTCAATACAAGAGGAGCAACTGAGTAACAGTCAACTATGTATGTAACATACATCCCCCAAAGAATTCTAACACAACATACTACTAACCGAACATCACAGTTTCTGCTTTTGCAATTTACACAAATTACCTGAATGTAATACTTTAGGGAACCCTTACAAACACAGTATACACGTTATGATATTACGTATCACCCTTAACTTATGAAAGTTTGATTTATATTATCTCAAAGGAAAACTAGTATTTATAAATCTCATTTTCCCACATAATTCATTACTCATTTTAAAAAATAATTTTAAAAAATGGCTTCCCTGTAAGCCTTTATCAATGGTAAATTAGAATGCAAACACCTGCCTGGCTTTGATAAAATTAAAAATAAACAAACAAGAAAACAAGTTTTATGACCAGCACCTCATAAAACCAAAAACCTCCTTTTGAAGTATAAAGTTCAATTCTTCTTGCCTTCTTAGTAAATGTTAATCCAAACCCTCCCCGATCTAGGAACTGTTCTGGTTGGTTACATCACAAACATACAGTATTTTTTAACATTAAGAAATTTCTGATGTGGTATGATAAATAAACAGCTAGCTTTTAAAACCAAAGTGACTCGGAGTTCTAGAAGAAATATAATAGCACACTAAAATGGTTTAAAAGTAAAATTAAAAATCAAAATCATGGTCTTATTAATTCAAATTAAAAACCAAAGGATTATGTATCATTTCAGACTTATATACATCAAGATGCCAGTTCTTATAAAAAAGTACTTCAGTTGTAAATGCTAGATTATGCAAAAATAATTTTATATTAATTTTATTTAACTTTAATGACTTTCCCCAACTCTAATATTAAAAACATGAAAAGAACTTAAATTTTAATGGCAAAAGTTACTGTTTTCCCCATCTACTAAAAAAATTTTTTTGTTTTCCCTTATTAACATACAATGCCCTATTGTTAAGGCACAACTTTTTTTTAGAATAAAAATGAAACCATCAATTTATTTTACACAAGTTACAAGGCATACGTTTTTAGGCATACGCTAAAAACAAATAAGTCTTAAATTAAACCAAAATGAAAAATTGTTGCTTCTACTCACAACCAATCGACACACAGCCAAGGTGAGTGAGTGGTTGTGGCTAGATTCTAAACAGTTCCTGTTTTAAACCTGCTTAAGATTGTCTCCAGAAAGCCATTTTCAAGCTGTTATCAAGGAGCGGCAAGTTGGGTATGTTCTTTTCTGAGGAATAGGGAGGGGGTGGCATGCCGGCTTTCTTTACTTACGTTGGGCAGTGGGAGACAGTCATCACCTGCAAAGCCTGAGTCAAATCCAATTTCTGAATTAAACAGCCTGAGACAGGGCGAGCGCTTGCCTGGCATCTGCTTCCCCGCCTTTCCTCCTCCCACTCTTTCCTCAGCCACCACCCCTACTCAATTTGCACAATATTCAAAGGAAGCACCCAGCAAACAGGAAGAATCTGCACAACTGCTACTTAAAGCACACAAACCACATGAAGCTTATTACTTCATCACATGGCCATAAGCAACTCAATATTTAGAATCAAAGAAAAACACTAAAACTGGGGAAAGGGGACAACTGAATAACAAAGATAAATAGGACATGTCTTGTAGGTCCTTATAATTCCAACTGAAGTAGGGATCAATTATGAAAACTAATAGAGATAGCAAGCTTTCTCCAGCAAGCAACGTGCTTGTATTTTCTGCACTTTCATTCTTCGAAGGATGGGTCAGAAAGGCTTAAGACAGAAGCCTTGGGTTATTCTTGACAGTTACTCTGTGGTTTTAAAGGTTATTTTCCTTTACTTTTTGAGGAGTCTTTGAAAAGTAATAGTCAACTTGGGCTTCATCAGTATTAATCTCCCTCACTGGAATTCTAGTCTCAGTTCTGCCCTAAGATTTCAGCAGCCAATCACAGAGACACAGGTCTGTGAGAGAATTCCAGGGTTAAGTGTTGAGGAAGGGTATATTAGTTAACAAAGAGAAGTAGAAATAAGATAACATATATATTAACAAGTTAGGGAGACATGGAACAAGGAGTCTTGTAGGTCCTTATAATTCCAACTGAAGTAGGGATCAATTATGAAAACTAATAGAGATAGCAAGCTTTCTCCAGCAAGCAACGTGCTTGTATTTTCTGCACTTTCATTCTTCGAAGTATGGGTCAGAAAGGCTTAAGACCGAAGCCTTGGGTTATTCTTGACAGTTACTCTGTGGTTTTAAAGATTATTTTCCTTTACTTTTTGAGGAGTCTTTGAAAAGTAATAGTCAACTTGGGCTTCATCAGTATTAATCTCCCTCACTGGAATTCTAGTCTCAGTTCTGCCCTAAGATTTCAGCAGCCAATCACAGAGACACAGGTCTGTGAGAGAATTCCAGGGTTAAGTGTTGAGGAAGGGTATATTAGTTAACAAAGAGAAGTAGAAATAAGATAACATATATATTAACAAGTTAGGGAGACATGGAACAAGGTGGAGAGAAAGAGGGGCAGAGGAAGGTGGGACAGCTGATGGATCCTAAGGTTATTTATTGGTGCTACTTTTACTAACTGATGCAGAAAACTCAATTTTAATGGAAAACCGTCCTCTACGGGCAAAGATGACGGAAAGGGAGATTAGGTGTTGGGTAGGCGACAGTCACTAAGAGTAAACATTTTAGAAATACTTGTATTTATGGGAGATGTTATCTGTCTCACACAAGAAGGTGTTTCTTACAGGTGTGTCCTGGCACAATATCCTACATAAATAAACACTGTTCTTTGAACTTATATTAGTTCTGTAATGTATACTGACTTTTAGAAATGAAATGTTTTCAAATGAACTTCTTATAAAAGCACTTAAAACCATTAGTACTATGCTATACTCAACAAATCACAAAAATAATGCATTTGTCAGCCAGTATCCTAATTTTTGCACATGACACAAGCTCTCCACAGTCATTATCTATGTGTGGTTTAATAAAATTAAAAACTAAAGCCAAAACACCATGCCTGCTAATATGAACTAGTCCCATTTCCTAATATCCTAGTCTCTTTCCCCGAAGTTTGACACATCACAATTAGAACACAACACTTACATCACAGGACTCTGGAAACGGCACATGCCTCTGCCATCTCTCCTCATCTCAATGCAAAGCAAAAAGACGAAGCCACTGACAGTTGGCTCAGAATTCCTACAAGTCCTGGTTAAACACCAGGTACTTCAACTACTAAAACTTGGGATGAATTCTGATGAATAAAACCCTAGCTGTTGAGGCCCACTACCCTGCAGGACTGGTGGCTAGAGACCGGGTAAAGGCAATGTGTGTATCACACTAGGGCCGATTCCCCAACGAGGAGTAAGGACCTCAGACGGTGTGATCTGCAAGCCTAAAGTTGTAAGCACATTCCACCCGGTGAGGATGCCTGCCCTTCCTTTGGTCAACTTTATCTCCAAGACAAGAAAACAAACGGAAAGTTGACCAAGGGTTAAAAACTGATCTAGGGTTAAAGAGAGAGAGAGAGAGATGAGAAGAAAAAAGGAAACCATGAAACCCCAAGAAATCCCTCTCCTTATCAGTGTGTTATGGAACAAAACCATGGCAAGGTCATGTGAAATGACGGTACTGTTGAAGTGAAGTTTCTGACTATCACGCTGACAGAAACCAGACATCCCAATGAGAGACAGCTCACAAAACAAAGTTCGAATTACAGTGACACTGCAAATATGTCACCTTTTCCAACCAGATAGTGCACACCTGAATAGGAAAAAAACTCATAAAAGGCAAGTTCAATCATTTTTTTAACCCGAAGGGAAAATACAAAGTATCTCAGGTTACTACTTTGAGAGCTTGGTAAGATTGATCCATTTATTAATGGCAAAAGCCACCTTAACTCACTCTTGATAATGAGGGAATCTCTACAGACATGGCAAATTTTTTAAAAAGTACTAAAACAAGGCTTTTAAAAATAATGAAGGCTAGTTCAATTCACGTAACTTCAAATAACTCTCAGTTAATAACAGAATAACATTATATTTTTATAATGCCTTATAGCATATTTTACCCCTAATGAGAAAAAGTAAAATTTAAGCTTTTTCTATTTTAATCCATAAGAAATATTCGGTAACAGAGAATTTGTTGCATATTAATGAATTTGCAGCTTCTTGTGCTTTCTATCTGAATTAGGGGTAAAAACCCCCAATTATTTTATTTTCAATGAGATATAACTATATAGTAGTATTAAACACCTACACAAAACAATCCTTTCTTCAGCCCAATTCTATATGAAAGTATTAACAAACTGAAGATTCATGATATTGTGTGAAAACGGTGACTCATAACAATGTAGACTCAGCTATAGATTTTAATTCACAAATATATATATATACGCGCCTTGTGTATGACAACCGTACGAAAATAGTCTCAAAAATAAAGACAATACTTGAGACACGAAGCAACCCATTCTCCCTGATCCTGCATCCTATTACAGGGAAAAGAAGTCTCAGATGCTTCATAAATACTTTAAAAAGTTCGGGATGGCCTAAACCATGCATAGTCTCCACCGCTGCTTTGAAGCCTCAGCACGTCAGGCCAACCGTTCAGCTCCAGGTGGGCTGTGACCTGTCGTCAGCTTGGCTTACTTATGTCCCGTCTTTTCCAGATCTGGGAGCTTTCTGACCAGAGCCTGGTGGTTCATCCTGATGCTGGCCAGAAGCCCCCCTTCAATACCGTCGGAACCAGTGTAGCTAATTTCTTCACCACTCAGGGTGGTCATGTGCCCCCCGAGGGCTTTCAAGATGGCGTTGCCAGCACAGATATCCCACTTTTTGATGTATGTCACATGGATATATAGATCAGCTTTTTCTTGACTCTTATCAGGCACATCCAAGAGTGCTAAAACTTTATAACCTGCAAGATAAACACAGGATTCAGGTTACTATCTGGAAGAGAGGAAGAAAGGAACGTACTGTCTTGAGGATGTTGTTGACACCAGCAAAGGGTATGCAGGAGCTCTCTACACTATCTCTGCAACTGTTAAGTCTAAACTTATTTTTAAAAGTAGTTTTTTTAAAGTCACAGTACAGATGTTAAACCCAAAAGAGCAAAACAATACTGCAAAGTATGCAAAGTAGTTTATTAAGCTATTCTCAAGTATAAATAAACATATGCTTATAATTTTTTAAATTTAAATCTACTTTGTGGTTCTCTTCTGAGAGGTGATATCTTCAATATAAATTGTTTCCTATGGACTATACACTGAAGCTAAACACCCCCAGGTCTCCCTTGAGTATTTACGAAGAATGGACTGGAAAGGAGAAAGCACAAGATAATGTTACCATCTTAAGTCTTTTGTGTAATGAGGCAGAATTTTAAAAATAAAATAACAAAACAAACCCAGAAGAAACTGGGTCAAAAACCTATTTTATCCTATTCCTGTTGGAAATTTTAGATATCACCTTTCCTAACCAACCTGACAGACTATAAAAAAACAATGAAAACATGTTACGAAAGACATGTATAGGTCAGCAGTAAACTAAAACTGTTAGGCTTAAAAGTTAAAAGCATTACTTTTCTATTACTGTGCTGAAAAAAGTTTTTAAACACAAATGTTTCCTACCATACTTCGCAATTTATTTGAATTAAAACACTTCTGTCATTAGCAAACAACATTCAAAACAGAGTGGGTTAAATCCAGGCATGGCCTGTTTTCACACAGCCCTCAAGCTATAGGTATTTTTTGTATTTTTAATCCATGGCTGATTCATGTCAATGTATGGCAAAAACCACTACAATGTTGTAAAATAATTAGCCTCCAACTAATAAAAATAAATGGACAAAAGAAAAAAAAAAAAACCAAGGTAAAGAGGAAGTAAAGGAATATTCAGTGTTATGGAGACTATGTAAGCAAGGATTATAGAGATGGGAATCAATATTGTATGGAAAAGGGAAAATGATCCAGTGTTGAATTGCTTTACAAAGACTCTGACCCTCCAGAAATATTAGTCATCTCCCTCTCTTTAGCCCCTGAATGCGGTCTTATTAAAATTCAAGAGGTTCGCAAGAAAAATAAAATAAAAATAAAAATTGAAAAAAATCAATCAATCAAGCTAGTAACAGTAGCCATTAGCCGTTCTAATGACATTTAAGGATGGTTCCTGCCAGCCCCTGCTAAGTACAGGGTTGTGACGGCTGGATCCGTCTTTCTCTCCTTGCGACGGTTACAGCTGCACTAACAGGACAATCACTTCAAAGTCAGATCACGTACAACCACCACCAAAGTCGGGAAGAGACTTGCATACATTCCAGGACCAGAAACCGCTTCTGTGAGACTGCTTCCTTTGTGAGGCTGTCTGTACCCAAGAGGCAGGTGTGCCTGAAATCCCGCTCTGGAGATAACCAAGCAGGACACCAGGCCTGTCCTAGAAGCCCCAGTGTCCACTCCCACTTCTTCCCAAGGACCGGATGCCAGTGAGCCTCCTGACGTGGGCGTAGCCACGCGGGGCACAGGGCGGGGGGCGGGGCCCACCCAGAGCAGGAACGTACCAGCTCCACCCGCTGGGATGATCGTAGTCTGGTTTCCAAAAGTCTGAAGAGCCACCTGTTTGACCATTCCTGAATGCGAGCGAGACACGACAATCCTTGGGGTCTTCTCATTGTAAGAAGTGCGGGCTTTCACATTTGACCCACCGTCTACCATCGCCCAGGCTGGAAAGCAAATGTAATAGCTAGTAAAGGCACCAAGGCTTTTTAAAACCAACATACCAGGAGTGACTGGAAAAAACTTCCCAAGAAATCTTTTATCTCCAAACAGGGAGCTTTGGTTTTTCGAGTACAAGGATCATATGTTTATTTTTTACAACAGGCACATATTAAGACAAAACTACAAGGGGCTAGACAACCATGCCCAACCAGAAGAGAGACTAGTAGGTCCTTGCTGAGGAATATCCCGGCTCTAGAGCTCCCTGCAGGGCCGCTGTGCAGTCTTCACTGGACCACACTGCAACTCAACTTCCCCACCTCCTGCCCTCCCTCCCACAAATCTGACCCCAAGAGATTTCTCTAGTAAACATCCTGCAGATAATAATCACAAGAAAATAATAATCAGAAGAACCCAAAGGGCAGGATCTTCTGTGATAAGTGACCTGATCTCAACAAGTCAATATCATCGGGAGAAAGGGGACTGGAGGCTGATCTAGGTTCTAGTCTAAAAGAACTTAACATAGTGACCTAACAACCAAAAGAAATGCCTGTCACTTAACTGGACTGTGGTCTCAGTTAACAGGTTATAAAATCCACTTCTTGAACAACTGGGGGAAATGTGACTGTTGGATAAAATTGTTAATTTTATTATTAACAGTACTGTTCTTGTTTAGAAATATGTTTTCTTTAGAGATGAATACTGAAATATATGGGGTAAAAGGTCATGATCTTTGTTATTATCTCTAAAATACATAGAGAAACAAATGAATGAATAAATAAAAGCAAATATATAAAAATATCAACTATTAATTGAAAGTACATGAAAAGTCATTATCAATTTTTGAAATTATTTGTAATAAAAGTGAAATAAGAAAAGAGAAACAAAAAAATCCTCTAAATTCTTTTCGGAAATGATCAAAAAACACATAATTGTATCAAGAAGTGAATTTGCAATGCTGTATCTCTAGAGGTCAGTATTGTGTAAGAGAATAAAGAGAATACATCTCAGTAGATAGTACCAGAATAATTTAGATAAGAATTACTGATTTAATACTAACAGTACATATTTCAGATCACATAAACTCAAGGCATTCAATCATAACATAACATTTATATGGACAAAATTATTTCAAACACCTTAAAACACAGTTAGGTATTTAAATAAATATATGTGAATGATGATGATACGGTAATAGTGATAAGCTAAAACAACAGCTAACAGAATGTGTTCAACACTCCATCTATAAGACTTGCCAACAGAAAGTCCGGTAGGAAATAACAAGTGGCTGGTACTTTGTTCCACACACTTCAGACACTACAACTTCTTTCTATTAGCTGCAGATTTCCACTGAGTGGATGGACTGTGTCCACATTTATACATCACTTCAGTAAAATGTGTACTATTCAAGCATCTCTTGCTTCTAAGAATGTTCCTCAGTGAATTAATTTTAATTAAATCTGGTAAGATTTTGATCAGCTCTGTTCTAACTGCTGCCAGCAATAATAACACCTAGCTCCCACTATAGTCAAGTATAGCTACATTCTGGTAAATACACAATACTTGGCAGTTTGTACTGGGCAACAGCAATATGCAGCCTGGATCTGAACATCACTCCCCAAGGAGGGCACAAACCAAACAAACCTTCGATCCAGGAAAGGAAGGTCACTCACACCTAATTAAGGGTGTATTGATTCTTTTGCAATGTTTGCTGACTAGTAAAAGCACCTTATGTTACTAAGCGTATGGCTGGGGGGTAGATTATGTATTTTTATGGAATAAAGGTTTTTCAAAAATGGACACTTTATTATCCCCATTCTCCCTCCTAACATGAACAGATATGGAAACCAGGACCTATCTGCCTTGCTGGTATCAACTTGCTCTACATCTTCTTTATTGCAGTTCTAATTCTCTTTGGGCTAAGGCCACTTCACAGCAGATCCCAGAATGCACACAACCTCACGTGGAAGAGCCCAGGACCATATCCCCAGCAACAGCATGATGGAAACAGAGAGGACCACAGCTGCTGGGTGTCCACACCCAACGGCATTCCCTACACACTAAGGATCACTCGTTTTCATTTAACAGTTTCCATCCTCTAAACAAGTTCAGAAAGCTATGCTTTGTCATACATTACTAGTACCAACACTAAAATCCTCACTGTATCCAGTGAAGGGTGAGGTGGGTTGACTCTAATAATTGTTGAATCACAGCTGAAATTTCCACAGGACCATAAATAATACAGGAAATGATTTAATAACATTAATTCTTGGAAGCTCTAGCATATTTATTTGTTTTTTCCTAGCATATTTCTTACCTGTATATTCAGAAAATGGCTTATGTATTACTCCTAGCACAGGTTTACCATTTACAGCCACACACACCATAGTAGTAACATACTTCCGAAGATCCTCTACAAGAAAAAAAAAACAAACAACCATCCAATAACAACAATTATTAAAATAATGTTAGGACTGAATATGAAAATTGAGTCTCAGACACTCAGAAAAGACCCTGTACAAGGGATGTACTCACTAAGTATTGTCACCATTGCAATCAGCAAATCAATTTCAGTCTAGGAAAAACCGTTTATAAAGGAACCTCTCCATAGTCCATGTTTCTATTATCTATTTCTGGAAACTTTTGTTTTAGAATTTGTTACTACTAGATACACATGTTTAGTGCCTTCTCCCTGTTCTCCAAATAGTTATCCACTGAGTGTCTATTTTGGGTCAATTTCCGAGCTTAAGCACAAGAATACAAAGGAGAAAAAGAAGAAGCCCCCACACTCAGAGAATGTACCATTTAGTTGGACAAATACATAAGCCATCAACTTTTATATACCAAGAGAATAAAGAAAAGGCAGAAATCAGATAACCTCTGGGTAAGATATAAGGCCTGGAAGAAAATCCACAGAAATGAAACAGGAGCTAGAGCTGTATGAGACAAGACAGAAACAGGAGGTGGGGGAAGTAACTCTGATTTTGCCACTTACCTTCCCTGGGTGCCTAGGATTTACTATTTTTAATTCTGAGACTAGATGTGTATGCAATAAAATCTAAATTCCCAAAATCACAAGTCAATAGTGTATGGTTTATCTAAATAAATAACTCAATAATGCACACCTCAATATACAAATCAATATATAAATAAACACTTCAATAAACAGGTGTCCAATAGGAACCATTTTGTTGCTGTGACTGCCAGAAACTTCCCTTCACTAAAGAATCAGTGACACAGTGAGCCACTGTCACTGAGAGGAGGATGCCATGATACAGCGGTCAAAAAAGTCTGACAAGAACTAACTGATCCACTCCAGAAGTTTCAGACCACAGTGCTTTAATCCAGCTCTCTGTCTTAAATCTAACTGGACAAGTTGTGTCCATCTGGAAAAAATATTCACCACCAGGAATATACCACCTGCCCTTGTTCTGGTTCTCTAATACATAAAGGCAATATCCAGTCTGAGATCAATTTTAACTGAAAAGTCACCCGTGTATTCCTGCGTGGCATCCAGTGGGTCAATCCAGACGGTGACGCTCTCTGCCGGCACCTCCTGGGGAGTGGCTATTTCCTTTAGGATGTCCTCAGGAATCTTCCGATCCCACAAGATCACCTCCTGATCAGCTGCATCCACATGTTCCTCCGTATTGATCTGTATCAATGGTTGAGAATGGTTGACAGTTTAAAAGGTTTTAAAGAAAAAAAAAAAAACACTACTTGGAAAAAGCACAATAGAGAAAAACAATTTAGACAAAATCTCCCAAATTGAAAGCAGATAAATTAGTATTTTTATTTCAAGGAAATTCTTTGCCAATGAAAATATATAAGAAATTCCAGATATGTTGTCTTCCAGTGCTTTCCAACTGAATATTCTAACTTAGCTTGTTGTGTAAGCAGGACAGAGAATCTAGAGAAATATAAAAAGAAACTAAGCACCAAAGAAACAAGCTATTTAAAACTTAAAGATATTTAAGGAAAGAGATACATTTAAAAATGTGACAATGGACTGACAACATTATGGAAAACTGAATACAACAGTTAGAGAAAAGTGATAATGGATTTAAAAGCAGGCCTTCAAAACAATGATAAAGACGTCAATTCTCCCATCTGCAAACTGTAGATTTAAAGTAATTTCAATCAAAATCCTTAAAGGTGTTTTTTTTTTTTTTAATCTCTTCTTAGAAATGGAACAAGTCATTTGGGAGAAAGTAGAAAAAAGAAAAAATATATATGCATGTAAACGTCATGGTGGGTGACTTTCCTTAACATATTTTGGCTTTTTCCCCAGCGTCACTGAGGTATAATTGACAAAGCTGAATGTATTTAAAGTGTACAAGACAGGATGATATACATGCACATTGTGCAGTAAGTCCCACAATTAAGTTAATTAATCTATCTACCACTTCATATATTTCCTTCTTTTATTTTGTGGTGAAAACACTTAAGATCTACTCTCAAAGCAAATTTCATGTATATAATACAATAATGTAAACCACAGTCACCTTGCTGCACATTAGTTGCTCAGAACTTACTCATCTTAGTTATAAATGAAAGTGCATACACTTGACCAACATCTCACCCTTTACCCCATCCCCTGGAATATGGTAACCACCATTCTACTATTTCTATGAGTTTGACTTTAAAAAAAAAAAAAAAAAAAAAGATTCCACATATAGGTGACACCATACAGTGTTTTTCTTTGTCTGGTGTATTTCTCTTAGCATAACGCCTTCCAAGTCCATCTATGTTGTCCCAAATGGCAGGATGTCCTTCTGTTTAAAGCCTGAATAGCACTCCATTTTATGTGTATCACATTTTTAAAAGTTAATTTATGCATAGATGGACACTTACCTTGGTCTAGCTACAGCTTTGTCAATTTTACCTTTTGGAAAAAAACCAGAGACCTGTATTGCTGGGAGTGCTCACGGGCCACTTGCGGGGATTCAGGGGTGGAGGGGGTGGCAGGTAAGGAGTCAGTGGCTATGGCAAGCTCCCTGACGGCACCTATGAAGGAAGGTCACTAGCAGCCCTCTGACGACTTCTGAGCCCTGACTCGGGTGCCCCCAGGGCTCCTCCCAACCCTCAGACACACAGGCCGCCTCAGTAAGCCAGGTGAGGTGAGGAACAAGGAGGCCTCTCGAACAGTGTGCAAGGTGTGCACGCACACACTCTTGTGGGTGGAGTCACAGTCTGAGGGGTCTCTCCTGGCACTGAGCTGTACTGCCGTGACAGAGGGGCAACGCAAGAAAAGTCAAAATACTCCTCTTACTCTCGTCAAAGCATTTTTGGATTTTTTTGCCCCAGCAGTGTGTTGAAACATCTCTGCTATACTCCCGGACTTCCATAAAGGAACTCTTGTCCATGGGAGACTGCCAAAATCAATGTTCTATGAGGGAGTGACAGCAGAGAATTCCTCTTTTGCCACCTTGCAGATGTTACCAGAAAGCATTTTGGCTACATAGTCCATATCTTAATGACAACACTAGGCCACCTTGGATGATGCAAAACCACAGAATAAACTTAAAACAACAGATGTGACTCTGGGAAAAGAGAAGCAGTTCCTGGGTCTCAATCACTACTTTTGTTGTTGTTCAGTTGCTCAGTTGTGTCCAACTCTTTTCGACCCCATGGACTGCAACACCCCAGGCTTCCCTGTCCTTCACCATCTCCTGGAACTTGCTCAAACTCATGTCCACTGAGTCAGTGATGCCATCCAACCATTTCATCCTCTGCCGACCCCTACTCCTCCTTCCTTCAATCTTTCCCAGCATCTTGATCACTATAGTTTCACAAAAATGGTAGCGCCAAGTCTGAGTGGCAACCGCTGTGCCTTATGATTAAGATCTCTGCCTACAGTTCATCAGCTTCTTCATATTCTTTCAACTGACTATGTGCTAAAAAGGTACAGAAATGTGCTTGACAAAATCTTCATTGAGAGTCAAGTTAGGGAGAAACAAGCAGAGTAAGCAAGTAAGAACATAACAGCACCATTACTTGACCTGCTTTTGCACAAGAGCTATTTGTTACCTGCCACTACCATGCCACACCGACAAATTTAACAAACCACTGCCACCATTATAAACAGCCTGACCAACTCAATTCCTTTCCATGCTCCACCAGCTAGCTAAGCCCTAGAAACTCTACCCCCCAATTCTAAACAACAGTCACTGCGCTTCCCAGGTGGCTCAGATGGTAAAGCATCTGCCCGCGATGCAGGACACCTGGGCTCGATCCCCTGGAGAAGGAAATGGCAACCCACTCCAGTATTCTTGCCTGGAGAATCCCACAAACAAAGGACCCTGGTAGTCTACAGTCCATGGGGTCGCAAAGAGTCAGACACAATTGAGCGACCTTTCTTTCTACAGTTAAGAAAATTCTACTGTGAACCCTCTATCTCTCACTTGGATTTCAAAAATAGCCTTGATTGCTCTTGCCTCCAACTGTGCATTCACTGATGCATTCATTCATTCAATAATGATTTAATGACTACATATCATAAACTGCTTTGGGCAATGGGATATAATAATGAACAAAACAGACCAATTATTGCCTTTAAGAGGCTTTCCTTCTCAACCAGGCAACCTGCCATCTTCCTAAATCAGATGGTGTCGCTCCCTGCTAAAAACCTTCCAATGACACTCACAATGACCTTTGCATAAGGGCTGCCAAGGGCTGCTGACCTGAGTCTGAGGACTGCAGGGGAAACAGTGACTGAAAGCGCCCACTCTGGCCAGACACCAGTGTAACCATTTGCATGAGTTATTTTACAACAGAAGGTCCCATGAGGGATGGGAAACTAACAAGCCACCACCAACTGAAGAAGCTAGGAGAGGTTAAAAGGAAATGCCACATGTCTTACCAACCTCCCAGGATCTTAGGGTCTTGATTTCTTGTTCTTCAGTTCCCTGGAGGGCTGAGACACAGGCAGTAGTGATGAGAGTAGAAAGTGGATGGATTCTTGCTGGAACCCATCTTGGCTGAGCAATGCCTGAGCCACCAGGGAGGACCCTGAGCCACAACGATTGGACAGAGGCAACCCAGAAAATAATCTTATCACCATAAAACCCAAGGCTGTGAGCCATGCGGCAGGCCAGTCCTCCTTAGTTTCTTTACCCTCTTGCTCTCTGCCTGGGCACCCTTCCCAATAAAGTCTCTTGCTTTGTCAGAAAAAACAAAGCAAAACAAAACAAAAAACCCTTCTAAAGGTTTCTCATTACATAGAGATAAAATCCAGACTCTCAAAGTACATCCAGGATGATCTGGCTCCAGTACCTTTTCTCTATCTGCACCTTATTCACTCCATCCCAGACTCCCTTGTTTTCAGAGAATGTACTCTCCTGTTCATACACCTTTCCTCAAACCTCTGTATGGTGGCCTGCCTGCTTTTTATCGTTCAGTTCTGGGCCCACATGAAAGTGCCTCAGAGTGGCCTTCCCTGACAAACATGGCCAAAGCAGGATCCCACCCCACAACGCCAGCACTCTTCCCATGTGATCTTATTTATTCTTCTTCAAAGACCTTGTTAGTATCTGAAATCACCATGTTTGTACATTTGTCATCTACCTTGACCCACCAGAATATAAGTTCTGTAAATTTAAGGTCAGCTTCCTTCTGTACTATAGCTCTGTACTCACTGCCCAAACCAGGGCCTGGCACAGCAGATGCTAAATAAATACTTCGTGATTGACAGCACTAGCCTTCATCAATGTAGTTTCATTTCTTCCCTGTAACACTTTCTATTCAATCTACCTCATCACCCATTACTGGCTGGGTCTCAGTCTTCACCAGGGAATTGGAGAATAAGAAATCAAGACCCTAAAATACAGTAAATGCCATTTATATGACAGTTCAGTTACTCTGGGGTCAAAGAAACGTTGGGTCAATGCTTTAAGAAGGTAGTATTTACCATATTTCTCCATAGATTTATGGAGATTTACATCCTAATAAGTGTTTAGATACACTGTGCTTTCAGTAGGCATTCAACAACTATTTTCTAAATGGATATACAGGGTTCTCCAGCTGTCTTTTTTCTCCTTCCACTGGACAGAAGCCTTTTACTGTCAACTACTACCTCTCAAATATATCCCTAACAAATAATTAAACATGCTCCTGTGTCTTACACCTGAAAAACAAACAAGAAACAAAAAATCCATAGAACCTTCTCTTGGCTAGAATGTAGCACTCTAGCCAAGTTCCTTAGAGCCCAACTTCTTGTCTTTACTTAGTGTCTCTTTTCTCTATTTCCTTACTTCTCATCTTCTTCTGCTTTCTTCCCATCAAGAGAATTCTCACAGAATTTACCTATGACCTGCATACAGAACCATTATTAGGAGTATGTGGTCTATCACCACACTGCCTGAGTCCATTCCAGCTCCTCGTTTTACTTGATAGGTGACTTACCTAGGCTAGTTACTTCATCTTTTTGAGCTGCAGTTACCTTATTGCTAAAAGTGGATGATAAATATATATTCCTATTAGGTTCTTTGGGTGAATCAATGAGATACTTGGGGTAGTGCTTAACCCAGAGTAAGCACTTAAAAAAAGCTGGCTGCTATTACTCTCACTGTTTTGAAATTAAATGACTGTTTTCAGTTTTTTGTGATCCTCGGTCCCCAGGCCCTCATTTTCCCTTTCACACTTCTCAAGTGTGTACTCCTTTTCTAGCAATTACTCCTGTTGAGAGAGAAGAGTCTAGCTCTCATCTCTGAGGTCAAGGACAGTACAGACCCAAGACTCCTACCAGCTAAGAGTATCATGTTTTATCATCAAATAAATCACTGCCAAAAAGTTTTGACAAGTCAAGGACAGGAGCCCCTCAAAAAGAGAGGTCCCTGTACTTTAAATCAAAACTATAAGCAGCAGCTCAGTGGCTACAAATCCATTCCAAAAACCTATCTTCAGCCTTCATTTTCATCATTATCCAGAAGGATACGAGAGACAGTGCCACATAAATGGCTGCAGTTACTTTTACTTCTACACTGAAATCAGAATTGCCAATGAGTTCAGGAAGAGGAGGAATGCTGCCCTGAGGACTCTCCCAAGATCCCAAAGGAGAAAGGCTGAAGACAAAAGGGAATCAAGAGGTCCTAGGTCAAACTCTGAGTTTTCTTAGAATGTGTACTGCTTTGGAGTGGGGCTTTTCAACCTGAACACCAATTGAAAATCAGGCCAGATCATCCCTTATGAAGGAGGAATGTCCTGTGCGTTCTCAAGACTTTACCTTCTACCTACTGGATGACAACAGCGTGCTGCCTCCAGTTGCGAGAACCCCAAATCTCCAGACATTGCTACATGTCCCCTTGGGGCAAAACTGTCCCCAGTTCAGAGTAAGTGATACCTGCAGTATCTTGTTACTAAGGGGTGAACAGCAGACAGGAGGGCTCAAGCCTCTGACTCCATTTGTATGGGGCATCAGGGTAAAAAGAGGATCTGTGGCTTCTCAATGCTAATTTTCCCTAAGGACCTAAACTAAGTGGTACTCAACTTAAGATCTTCACTGAAAAATTTCAGTGAAATTTTTGAAGGTGAGGCTTCAAAAATAACTCGACATTTAAGACTGTACTTCTGGGTGTTGAAGGAAGAGAAAGAAGAAAGGAAAGAATCTAGGACTGAGTCACTACCTAGACAGCTACATCTGGCCTCTAGTCTTAACAACATACCGACAAAAGGAGACAGCTCATCATGATACCACCCTACTCTGATTCCGTCTAAATGAACATAACTTCCTCTATTCCAATCACCATCCAACTAGAACACAAAAAAAGGACCTGCAAACATTCAGTCACAAGAAAACAAAGCTATTTTACATAAAGGCAGACTTTAACATCTGTAAAAAGCTTAGTTTTTGTGTTTAACAAAATGCAGCTTGTCACTCTTGGCAGCAATTCCCTTAGCATTTGTTAATAAGAGAGAAAACAAATGCAGAATCCTGTGGAAGTTACCCACAGGATTAAAGTTTTGGTAGAGGTGGGGTGGGATGGAATTCACGTTTGAACACACATGTACATATGGCTATACATTTTCAATATTTAAAAATATTTTTGAACTGATCTTTTTTTAAAAAAGTCAACTCTACTTTTATATTTCACTATTATTGCTTTCAAACTTTTACAATTTTACATTTTCCCGAGGAGATCATACTTTAGGTTCTAAACAGCCTCCTAAAGGTAGTTCTAAAGGTACTTCATATAAACTGTGAAGCGAAGTGTCAAGAGTCTCAGGGCTCCCATCGGGAAGGTGGGCAAAATAAATTTTACTTCTTAAAGTTGCTGTGAGGACCAAGTCAAGTCTTACGTAGCAAGGACTATACTAGCTAAAACAGTAATCAATAAATGATTACTATTACTGTTGTTGTAACTGTCTACACCAAATTTTCTGAAACTCCTGTTTCTCCAACAAACTCTTAGTGAACACCATGTGCTTCAGAGAAATGAAAAAGAAATTTTACAAGCACATCTTATATCTAGATGCAAACACAAGGTAAGTAACACTTGTGATGGTAAAGTGCCAAAGGACAGAAGAAAAACATGAAACATTCTGTTTTGCTGGAGAACTATCATGTCAACTACATCTGGTACCCAGCAGCTCATGATATGAAAGCCAAAGTTCCTTCCCGCTGCGAAAAGAAAGTTTAAAAGGAAAGAAAAAAAAAAGACGAAGAAAGAAAAAGGAATAACAGGAAAGACTGGAGAGAGGGTTACACACGATAATTCTACAAAGACAATACTCTCTTACAAGAACAGTAAAAGGTCAGATACCTTCCCCAAAAGCAGCGGTTTACATTTCACTGTTTATCTAATTAATGAAATTCCACTGCAAACAATTTTTCTTCCCCATCGCCAAAACCCATTGTTAGGTGAGTTAACACCTACACTTAGGAAGTACCACCACACTATGTGAGCTCTTCCTCTGGACTGTAATACATTTTTTAAAGGTTTATGCATTCAGCAGCAGCTGCACTGAAATGATAAAGTTTAAAGGTATTAACAACAAATTTGAAATGTCTGTATTTCCCTAAGAAAATGTCAATTTCTTCCCCCAGAAACGTTCTTCAATTCTCATTCTTTGGAGTAAGTATGGGCCAGAAGGGTGAAGTCAAGTTGCTGGGAATCATACTCCCAAACACTTCCTTGAAGGGCCCCTCAAACATATGCCATCAAGATGGTCCTGATGAGTCCACAGCTAAGGTAAACCGTGGTCACACTAGTCACAAATGCCCTGCATACTAACAGCTATGTAGCAAGACAGACGTCTACAGTTCCTGGTCTTCAGCTGGCTCCTGGCAGGTCCACCAGGAAATGTGTATCGACCCTTCTAGCAACTAAACGCAAGAAAGATAGAGGGCCTCGGTGATTCTAGCCCTATCCTTTCATTTTACAGAAGAGCCCGTAGCAGGGAGTGAAGTTAACTTTCTCAGCCTTCGAATAACAGGGATACCAGACCCCAGAGCTCCAGATCCCCAGTGCCCAGCGGACGCGCACACCAAAGGAGGAAGAAGGGCCGAGTCCACGACCCACGACCTCTCCCAGCTCTTTCACCAACTCTTCAGTGTCACCTTGAGCACCTCAACTTGTGCGTCTACATCCCCAGATCCGCCCAGTTGGAGCCAGAGCCCGACCGCCAGGGGCTGTCGGAGAAGTCCAGGCGCCTGGGCCCGCGCCCACCCGGCCCGGCCCGCGCGGCGCCCACCTGCACGCTGGGGAAGGCGGTCTTGAGCAGGTAGAACATCTTGCGGTTGGACAGCACGTCCCCGCTGGTCATCTTGTCGTCCGCCCCCTCGCGCGTCTTCCCCTTGGACTTCTCGTGGAGGACGTTGCTCTCGCGTACGCGCCGCACCTCCTCGCCGCCGCGCACGGCCGCCAGGACCGACACGGCCAGCATCTCGCGCAGGTCCACCGTGCCCCCGTCGGCCGCGGCGCCCACCTGCACGCTGGGGAAGGCGGTCTTGAGCAGGTAGAACATCTTGCGGTTGGACAGCACGTCCCCGCTGGTCATCTTGTCGTCCGACTCGCGCAGGTCCACCGTGCCCCCGTCGGCCGAGGCCGCGGGACCCGCCGCCCCGCCGCCCGGCTCGCCGCCCAGGCCGAAAAGGCTGAAGCGGCCGGCCAGGAAGCCCGAGTAGAGGTGGTAGAGCACGCCGAGCCCCAGCAGGCAGAACACGGCCACCCCCAGCGGGGACAGGCGGATGCCCATGGGGGCCATGGCGGGAGGCCGGGCGCTCGGGGCGGTGGCCCTCACAGGCCTCCCCGCGCTCCCGAGCCGGGCACCGCACGGTCTATACCGGCGCCAGCTCCCCGGCGCCCGCGCGCCCCATCGCTCCCTCCCGGGAAAGACCGAGCCGCGCTGAGAAGCCCCCCGCCACCGTTCCAAGCGCACGACTCCCCCGGGGCAGCCCACTCCCCGCAGCAGAGCCGGCCGGCGGGTCTCGCTTCCACGTTAGCCAACGGCCCGAGGTGAAAGGGGAGCGTGGGTGTGTATCCGGGTTACGCAGGGGGGCGGAGCGAGTCAAGCTCCTCCCTCGGGGGCGGGGCGGCCGGCCGGGTGACTGGGAGGCGCTGGTCCGCTCCGCCTGCGTTGCTCTGGTCCGTCGGCGGTGTTCGGGTTTTGAGATCATTACGGGATGTGGCGGAATTACTTCCTGAGCACAGAAGGATGCCGAGTGCCTTGTGGAAATTCAAATTAAATCTTTCTTTGAACGACACACTGTATGGCCGAAATAGACTCTTAGGGACAGTCTAAACTTTCCATCACTCTGATTACTGAGGAAAGGAGGACACAACGAGGCGTTTTAAATCTATGCCTTTTCGTCGACGCTTGTGTGGACAGAGCCTGTAGCTTTAAATCGCCTCTCGGCGCCCTTCCTGGCAGAGCGGGGAATGGGGCGGGGATGAGAGGAGGTTTCGTTGACTTTCTTCTGCTGGCACCCCTGTCCGAACGCATATGCGTTTATGTCTGTCTGTATGTATAGATTTTCCCTTGTACCTTCACCTGCCAGAATGAGCCATCCTCTATGCAGGTGAAGAACTTACCTTGGTTCTGGGCTTCCAGTGTGTGAGAATACATTCCCGGCTTTCCTCATTGCCAAGTCCACTTTACCCACACCTTCCAAAGGCTGAAAGGGGAGAGAAATTGCCTGTGAGACTCCACTTGGTGTAAAGATTGTCCCAGGATGATCAGTCCACAATATGTAATCTTTGAATCAATGTAAGCCCTTCATATGTACTTACAGAAGCGTTTAAAAGGAGTGACTGCCTTCTACTATGCTAGGGATTTTAGCCATAATAACAAGTGTTCACTAAATTTAAATAAGTATTATAATAAGCATTAATGTTTATCTTCCATCCTAATAGTGAACATTAACGTGAGCAGTATTTTATAAATGTTAGAATATTTATTTAAAATCAACTTAAAATGTAGCCAGTTTTACTGTTTATGGCCAAAAGTCATTGGGTTTAAATGAGCTTGAATATTAACGACCTTAAAAACTGCAGGTATATAGAATGAATTATGAACATCAGTTGCTGAGCAAGTCATCAGAGACAGGCAGGCTTTTACATATTTCCTTAGAGTTTAGGGCACTGATAGAATTTGCATGTGGTTATACAGATACAATAAAGGAAGACCATAGATTGGTTTCCTTGCTTAAAAATAATCACAGCACAAAATCACGTACAAATACAGATCAGTGTGGTAACAGCCCCTGAGTGCTGACAGCACCAAATCTCAAGGAACCAGCACTGTCCTGGTCAGTTTCGGAGAGCAACTTCACAGTTAAGCCAAGCTGCTTTCCAAAGAAATCTTAAAGTGAAGGTCACTGTAATTATGGTTACCGAATCCAGGGATAAATACAAAGACTGGGCTTGAAGTGAAGGCTTAATTAACTTCAACAGAACCACCCCATGAGATCAGCAAAAGATAGGAGTTGGCTGTAGTTTTGAAATATTAAAAGCATTGTGGAAAAGTCTGGTTGAGGTTTGTAAAAATAATCAGCAGTATATTCCAAGGATATTGGAAAGCAGTATTGGGCTATGCTCGCTGGCATTCTACAAAGCCTCAGTGAGACACAGAGAGAGTTACTAAAAGCTCTGAGGCATTTATACTGCAGGAAAGGTGCTAAGAATTGAGATAGAAAATACTAAGGCACATGCACAGAATGAGAGTATGTTCAAAGATCATAGTTCCAAGAGTTCTAGTATTCAGGTGACAATTGATAACAGCTGATAGATATTGATCAACGGTAGCATGTAATCATGAAGAGAAACTTTATAACAAGAAGAACAGTTTAACTAGTTCTCTGTGGGACAGTGATGTTGTCTTGGAACCTTCATAGGAATTTGATTAAAAGAAATTTGAATTTTCAGTAACAAGTTGCTAGAAACTTTGTTGTTTTGTCACTCAGTCCTGTCCACTCTTTGCGACCCCATGGACTGTAGCCAGCCAGGCCTCTGTGTCCATGGGATTAACCAGGCGAGAATACTGGAATGGGTTGCCATGCCCTCCTCCAGGGGATCTTTCCAACCCAGAGATCGAATCCATGTCTCCCCGTCTCCCCTTCTTTGGCAGGCAGGTTCTTTAGCACTGAGCCGCCAGGGAAGCCGGCTAGAAGCTTCTATGAACCATATAATCTTCATATATGAAAATTCTATGAAAGTAAATATAAAATGATAGGTTTTTGAATTGAGGTGAATTAATCTTTCAAAAATAATCTTCTATAGGGGTTAAAAATGATGAGGACTGCCTAATGTTTCTTCTGTATAAGTATTGATAGCAATGAGAATTGACAAACAGCAGAAACTTCTTTGACCACCTTCCCTGTAACTGGCTTGCTTGACCCTGCTCTCTACTCTCCATGTGCCCAAACTTAGTAAAGGTATGTGTTCTTGGGGTACCTGCTCCCTCTCACTCCCTCTAGTAGAACTTTATATACATCATGAGTTTTATTTCAACCACATTTTGCCACTGTGGTTATTATTATAAATACATGTAAGTTAAATATCATGTAAAACAGTCAAATGTGAGTATAAAGCTGAAAGCATTAAATGTCCTGATTAAGATGAGTCACCCAAAACAAAAATTGCCATCAAATTAAATGTTGGAGCAAAAACTCTGAAGAAAAAGAACTGTGCAAGTTCAAACAGATGCTGAAGTCAGATTGCTCAACTTTAAAGAAACCAAGTTGGTCATTCTGTGGATGGTGCTTTACCCATAGAGTTGACGCTGCAACAAGTTAATAGCAAAGAAAAGTCCTGCCTTATACTATAAGACCAATGATTATATATTTATATCTTCTAAGTGCCTAAGGGACTTCCCTGGTAGCTCAAGAGGTAAAGAATCTGCCTGCCAGGGCAGGAGACACAGGTTCGATCCCTGGGAAGACTTCCTGGAGAAGGAAATGGCAGCCCGCTCCAGTATTCTTGCCTGGGAAATCCCATGGACAGAAGAGCCTGGCAGGCTACAGTCTATGGGGTTGCAAAGAGTCAGACATGACTTAGCGACTCTACAATAACAACAAAGTGCCAAAGATGTCTAATCTGTTCTGTAATTCCCTGCTTTGAGTTTTCTCAATTAACCAACTCACTCTGATGACATCAGACACGGACCTTTCCTGAACACCTGGGTGGTTTTGCTCCTTTCCTACAAGAACCACCTCCCCTTCAGTTCTTCATCAAGTGTGAAATGTCAGACCCACTTACAGAACATTATTATGATCTTAAGTGATTATGAAGATATTCTGGTTTGTCTGAATGACTCCTGACCCCAAAATTTACCTTAGAGAAATATAACATGTTTGTGATAAATCTCTTCCAGTTAGTTTCCTTGTATTTTCCTCTTTTATTTTTTTGTATAAAAGTAAATTTTAGAGGGACAGTTAAATTAACTAAAGGTTCAGGGTAATTGAATCCTAAGTAAAATTAGTTTTTTCTACTTTACTGGGAAAACAAAACAATGAACTGATGGCATTTCTTCATGTTTAAGTATTAAACTTCCAAGAAGAGTATTATTGGTATATGCCTCCCTTAAGTGACTTAATATGATAAAAACAATAATTCTGTTTTTTAATACATCCAGTTACATGATGTTTGCTTCTGCCACTGAAGTTCTCCTTGGTAAATCATGCTAATCTTGGGACAGCATTTTTCATATGTTAAGACTGTATATGGCCTGTGTCTAGTACATGATTTATGTCTATTCTTAAAATTTATTTTCACCAGGATTTAGAGATACTCCACTCAATAAGTTTTCCACTTGATATACAGTAATATATTAGCACTGTAGCCCTTACTGTGGCCCTGATCTTAGCAATAATAATAGTTAAGACTTATTTAAAATAGAGGCAGTCCTGTAGGTATGTACAATAGAAAACTGGATATAATTTCTACCCTTTGAAATTATAATTACGATAATCCGTATGATCAACATAAAGCCAGGTACCCATATTACATACCATTGTATCTGTTGACTTAACTCAGATCTGCTACATGGTTGAACTCAGTAACTATTTATGAAACTGGATTTTTAACAAAATTTGTCTGTTGTGTAAAGTGTTTCTTTAAATATGAATCTAACAAATACATTAAAGATCCAACATTCATTTCATCTGTTCAAAACATTTGTTTCACAAGAATAAAAGTAAGCTGAAATAAATATTAACTTTGGAGCTGTTGAGATGTCAAATATTTGTTCATTTGTGTGCATGTTCTTTATTAAATCCAGTGCTTGGCAAAGTATCAATTCAGCTCATAATGTAAAATTTCCCACATTGTATTTTATTCTGTAAGTAGTCTGAACTCATATCACACATTTTGTCCATTATCCACCCAAAACCTAAGGTAAAATTATTTTCTTGAAACTCCATTTAGTCAAAAAATATACTGTGTCGTATCTGAAATGTTTTAGTTTGCAAAAAATAACATTTGAATGTGTTCATCAATCATGATTAGAATATATAGTCTATCGAGTTGTGTTTATAACTTTTTACAGAAGAGCCCCAACATACTACATGTTGCTGTTGCACAGACTGTATAATTCAAGCCAAGTCATGTCACCCAGAATGAAAGAACTCAATAATTTAATATCTTAGCCAAAGTGTCCTAAACTTTTTGTCAATGAAAAACATAAATTTTTTTTTCCGAATTATAGATATAACAAAGAGAGCTTCAGTAAACAGTGCTTACCCTATGACCTGAAATATTCATCCATTTTGTTTGTTTGTTTTTTTGCACTGGGTTTTCATTGCTGTGTGAGCTTTCGCTAGCTTTCGCAAGTGGGGGCAACTTTAGGCAAGAATACTGGAGTGGGTTGCCATTCCCTTCTCCAGGGATCTTCCTGACCCAGGGATAGAACCGAGGTCTCCTGCATTGCAGGCAGATTCTTTACCGTCTGAGCCACCAGGGAAGCCCTTTTTTCTTGTACATTATAGTAAAAATAACTGCAGGCAGGCTTACTGCCAATT